GCAATGCAGATTATTAAAAAGTAAATGTTTAATACAAACATAATGCATACTGCATTTTGTATATTTTTATTAATATTAATATTATTTAAATAAAGAATGTAATTTTTTTTAACGAAATTGTAATTTTAAAATCCTGCCTCTGTCTGCAGTTCTCTACCGTAAATACAGTAAACTACAAAAACATGTGAAGTTTTTCCAGGGTACGTCATCTTAATTACACATATCTTATTAACATAAAATAAATTACTTTTTACTGATAAAAATGATTTTAATTGAACATACTATAGATTTAGGAACATGAGTAAAGATTCTGGAGCACTTCTCACCCATACTTTGCACAATTTTTAACTGCTGCTTCTTTTTTTTTTTTTTTTTTTTTGCAATTTAAATTAATGAACAATATATCAAAATGAAACTCATATAACTTTGGCACCACTTGGCTAACTCTTAATTTTGCAAATGTAAACATTGGTTTCATTATAATGTTCATTTCAAATTTGTTTCACATAATAACTATAATAATAGTGTAAACTCTCAGCTGAAAGAAAAGTATGCAAATTTGAACACTAATAGATAGGCTCTGTTAACAAAAGTTTTATTACTAATACTAACCTGAGTTCCTCCACAACTAGAATATAAGTAATCAATATACAATGAAAATACACAAACGTACTATTTTTATCAGACATTTGCATGACCATACTTGCTACACTGAACTGAGTATTCTGAAGAAAAAAAAACAACAGAAAAAGAGCTAGTAATGCCACATTACACACTTCTGAATAATTTGTAATAGTTAAGTAATATTTTATATTGCAACTTGAATCCTACTAATTATTAAGAAATCTTATGAACTCCCTTCACAAACTGGTGTGATAATATTTTTAAGTGAAAACTTGCTTTAGATGTTAAAAGTCCTATAAGCATTGCTCTTGAAACCGAAAGAAATTCTACAAGGAGGAACACAACCAGAATTACCCGCCCTCTAACTGTAGGTTTTCCACGACACAGAAAATATATTTTCTGTTCTCTTTTGGAGCTCTCAATTCAGGTTTTGTACTCAAGACGTACATCAGAACCCAAAGTAGAAAACAGTGTCATTTCAAACATCTCAATAAAATTTCATACAGTATGTACTGAATTTAGAGACAATATAACAAAAACCTTTTAAGATGGTATTTTAAAGTCTTTGTTGGGAGGTTTTTGTTGGCCCCATATTCATGCTTACTGCAAAACACATTAAAATGGTCTGTGGGATCCTATTCACCAGTAATTTTCCAATTTTTTCTGTATTATTTTATACATAATGAGACAAATCAAGGTGGTACACCAAGTTTTTGTAAAATATCAAACTAGGAATCACTCTAAAGAACAGTTTTGTTTTGGCTGCATGAACAAATGCGATTCTAAGTAAATATTTACCCATACCACTGATTACTTACATTGTTATTTGATCTTTTTTACATTCTTCTCTCATTCATTCCCAGTGAAAATAACCGCAGTGTGGCATTTTTACAACGGTATGCATCTATTCATACTTTCAATTATTTCTAAGAATTCAATTGAAAGTCAAAAAAATCTATTGTTGCTCACATGGGCACTACAGTTTTTATTAATGAAGTTTGTTTGACTCAGTCAAGTGATGTCATATAGTGAGTGAATCAATTTTGAAAATGTTTCAAAACACATTGGAGCTACACAACATGTCAAATCAAAGATTGAAATATCATTACATTAACTATGAAATTGTTTTAAATTATCCTAGAATATCTAGGAATTATAAATTAACACTGTCACAGAATAACTGACTGAAGGATATTTGTTAATCATTTACAAATACCAGAGTTGCATTTTCATAACTCTGAGCATTAGGATACCTCCTTTGTAAATGCTTTTTTGTTTGCAAGGAATTATCAGCAGAGAAAATGACGAAAGTTTTAAGAGTGGATGATTTGGTCATAATGAGGAATCAAAATTACTAGCGTGGAAAAGCTAAAGAATCTGAAAAGTTGGCAAGCTTGATATTGGAAGAAACAAGTGTGACATTAGGAACCTATTCAAAAATGTATTGGAAAAACTGTCCTTTTCCACCATCCTCACTATATTTTTCAGCCTGTAACAACAATTAAAATATTTCAATATTCTACAATAGAAGAGCTTTTGGAATTCATTGAGGAAATGAAAGTCATTTACTCAGCACAAAAAGGTAAACCTACATTTTCAGTCAATGAGGAAAATTTTGAAGTTTTTTGGGGATAGTCTGCTTCTATAATAACTGTTACATTTTTGTTCTAGGTAGAAAATGTATTAGTAGGAAATAATTTCAAATTCCATGAAAAGAAATGGATTTGATGAGATTGCACATTTTCTTCATCTGAATATCACCAACAACTTTGACAAAAATGACAAGATTTCAAAGCCTAGAACTTTTTTACTCTCTTTTTAAAAAATCTTGATCTCAATGATGCATTTAGATCAGTAATAACTGATGCAGTCAGATGAAAGCATTTTATTTCCTTTCTTGCAACCACAGCCTTACCTTAACCATGAGCATCATCTCTGTTTTAGCGCTAGGGCTAAATTTGAACTTTTAGCACGCTATGGATGCTCTAAAAGAATAACTTTTACTAATCGCTGACTAAAAATTTTTAATTTTGATAGTTATATTTTAATTGTATAGTTTAATTGTATTCCTATTTCTCATTATGATTTTTCAGGATGAAATAAACCATTTGCATGCATCAGTAAGCCACTGTTTGATAATTTCACAAAAGTACATCATAGTGTCCAGAGTTGCGATTTTCACTACACCACATATTTAAAAGATAGGGAATAATTTCCAAACCATTATTTTCTTGTCCTCTTACTTCATGTATAAGTAAATCTAGCAATATGAAACAAAAAGGAAGAAATAAGTTCTGGAATTAACTGGGTTAAGCACCAAAATTGGCATGTATTAATCTATATATAGTATTTGAATAAACTCCTCGTGGTTGGTGTGGTTCCGTCACTCACGGTTACATCACTCTCCATGCATTAATCAAAATATACAAGGTGTCATTCCAAACATCTTGGTCTCCTGATGAGGAACTGATTATTTGTTTTCAGATCTGGCCATGAGATTCCAAAATATTTTTGCTGGGATCTGCATTATGTCTTCAAAGAATATCGAAAAAACAATAATTTTTTTATGAGAAAAATAGCATAAGCCAAATTCCCCAGAGATGCAACAGATAAATGCATGTCAATTTTATGAAACAATAACATTACCTAAATTCAGAATAACCAAAGGTAGAAATCATACTCAATATCACAAAAAAATTGCAAAATTTAAGTGGCTACTTCGCAATGCTGAGAAAACACCTAAACTACAACAAAACATCTCAATAAAGAGGACTCTGAAGGAAAAGAAAAAAGAAAAGAAAAGAAAAAAGAAAAGAAAAGAAAAAAAAAAAAAGAAAGAAAGAAAGGGGGGGGAGGGGGTCAAAGAAAGTTCAAAGCTTCAGCGATGCCACATTCAGCTAGTAGAAAGAATATCAGATTATTGATGAGGTTTTGTTGGTATTTGAGTAGTAGAAATAAAAGGTGCTGTATTCAAAAACATTTTTGTTCATAAGATGAACAAATTTTAATGACTCAGCCATCTAATCTTCAGATCTGGTATGAGTAAATGAGTCCTGCATTAAGTAAAAAGGCAAAGAAAATAAATTAGTACAAAATAGGTGTTTTGTTTACATTATTTTCCTCCAAAACATTATTCTCTTCACTATTTTTACACAATGTATTTTAATAATTGGTAATAAAGATGAAGGCTAAGTAATGTAAATCACATCATCTTACAAATAAATATGCAGCACCTTTTAACTCCCTAAGAAATAATATGTTGTATTTTTATTATTAATGAAGATTTCATCATTCACAAACCTTTGACCTTATTTTTAATGAAATATTTCTGCACAAAAATGATAACTTGTGTTAAAAGTTTTTTATCTTTAGGGAATGAATGAATTCTTACAGTTATATTTTAATGGTAAAAATTTAAAATAACAGTAAGTATCAAAAGCAACTTAAAACAATTTTCCAATTAAAAATAAAATACTGAATTTTTAACTTGCAAATTCCGTTAAATTCCTTGCCATTTTCAGTGCCTTGTTAACCACTCATCAATAACAAAACAATATAGAGGAACATTATATTGAAGACCTGAAGAGACCTGGAGAGTGGAAGAGAGAGAGAGAGAGATTTATATATAAAGCTGACTAAGTAAGAGCATTATTGTAGAGTGGCCCAAAGAACTTTTGTGTTGAATTCAGTATTCAGTTGTTTAATTTCATTGCCGCATAAGGTATTTCAACTAGTTTCAATTCTCCATTTTGCAGCTTTGCATAAAGTTCATCAACATTGCAGGGTAAAAATTCGGTGTGTTTAAAAGAAATATTGAAACTTGAGGGAATCAAAGATTTATAATGACATATAGGCCTGTGTCACACGGGTGTTTTGGATTCAAAGGGGATCATGCCCCCCCCCCTCCCAAAAGGCCAAGAGTTTTCAGTTACCTTACTTAATTTGGCAAAATTAATTTAAATATTTATGTTCAAATAATGTAAATATTTAAATAATATTGTATTGTACCATATCTACAGTATAAATAATATACAATTAATAATAAATATTTTTAATATTTAATAAAGTCTAACCCCTCCGCCCCTCCACCCAAATGATTGGCTGAATCTGCTCCTGGCTGAGATGGTCCCATGTTTTGCATCTGGACATAAATGTAGTTTCACTATTTTCACTATGCACATGTTTTGTTAAGCTAATCTTCTGCTAGTAGTTAGTAGTGGTAGGAGTAGAGCCGGGGGTGTGTTACTATTTTTTTAGCAATACAAAAATACAATCTGCACTTTGTTTACCAATGCAAATAAGTTTTCTATAACTCCAGAGCAGGAATGTCTAGTTTTCAGAAATTGCTAACTTCATATTTTTTTAAAAACTTTTATTCATCATTCAACTATTTATAGTTAAAATAAGGGGAAGAGGTCAGGAGCTAAAGAAAACTGCAGTACTTCTCTCCCATACGTCACATACTGTTTTTACTGTTCTTTGACTAAATGGATCTAATAAATAAATAACGGTAGCAGTTCCATGATTGGAGCGCACCAATGAGTTGAGTTTGTGTTTTTCTCAAAATATTCACTTTCAGTTATGCATTTATCTCACTGATACATTTTTCCCCTTCAGTCCCCTGAAAAATGTGGAAATGAAGGTTTACTGTAATCGTGATATTTCACACAAAATTCACAAACGTAATCATGCCTCTTTTTCTGGACATATTTGAAGTGAATAATAAAAAATCAGCAAGCCATATTCCATAGGAGTACAATATTTATTACGTTACGCAGCAAACATACAGCTTTTCTTCTGAACAAGAAAATCAACGCTCATAATATTTCAATAGCTGTCATACTCACTTCTATAAACCATGATGACACTTCATTAGAGAAGACAACGTGAAGTATCACAGCACATAAGTCACAGCAACCAATAACAATTTTACACTTTTTAAACCATGTCAACATGTACAACAAATTTTTGTTTCTTTCCAATACGAAAATGCTTTTCTAGTACATACACATCAAAAAATACAGAGCAAGAAAATGAAACTGCTGTAAAATAACAAATGTATCATATTTGTTAAAATAATGCAAAACTTACATTTGCAAAACATGAGAAAAAGAAAATTGAATTTACAAGTTCCCTAACTGCAGAAAATAGTAAAAACTCATGTGACGATAGAAATACACTGATTAAAAAAATAACAGATCCTCTAACTACTACACAACGAATTGTCTGTGACAAGTGCTTCTTTGTTTTTCAAATTGAAGTGTTTAGAGAAAAGATATACCTTTAAGTAACTTTATGTCAATCGTTGCAATACTGCTGCATTAGACAGTCCTGCTTGATCCAAAGTGAGAGAATTTTCCAGTTCTTTGCTTGGAAATGTAGTTAGAAGTGTAAAGCTTTGATGTTCATACTGAGGCCGAGCACTGCAAAGTTAGTTAAGGATTCACACTCAGAACTAATAAATGAAAATTACAACATTTGAAACAACTGCACCAAAGAAGCTATGAACTCACCTTGAGTAACCTTTTCAACAATAACAAAATTGAAATGAAAAGAAAATAGTAGTGCTATATAAAGCAGCATATTCTTTCCCATATTATTGGTAAGGTTACATAATATAATACTGAACTTCTACCCCGCTAACACTTCATCCATCACATAAAAAAATCAAACAATATAGCTCATTTCTCCAAAAACTAATGTTTTGAAACTTGTGATGCTACAAAGTGGACTTTCTTGCACTAGTTAGTTCTATTTTCTTCTCTCTAACCAGAGCTCCTATTTCTGTTTTACTCCACCCTCATCCCTGTTGCCACCTAGCAAAGCGCTTCAGGGATCCAACAAAGTCTCGCACAGCAGCTTCACCTCCCCTGAGAAGAACTACTAATGAAGAGCTTCTTCGTGCCACGGGAATATCACTCCCATACAGCCCTTAAGCCCACCTCAGTTCAATATCACAGTATATTATTCGCCTTGGTTCCTCAATTATACACACATTAGTAGAACAGCTTTCACGGTATCCAAGGGCATAGTTTAATAAAAAATTTGCAATTTTTGAGAAAATTTTGTTGAGGCTTCATGTTACACAAATATTATAAATATTAATAATATAATATATAAATATAATAATAATATATAATAATAAATAAATATAATAATAATATATAATAATAAATAAATATAATAATATAATATATAAATATTATAAATATTAATAAAAATACTTTTTCAGTATCATTGACCTTGAAATCAGTTGTAATTTTTGTCAGAATCTCAACATTGATTTTTTTTCTTTTATTTTTTCCAGAACTACAATACATTAAATGAAAAAACCAACAAAAAGCATCTTCAACCCTTTGAATGCTATGCAGTTCTGTGAGGGCTGGTTGCAAGTTGTTGAATCAGACCAGACGAGTGTGATTGACAGGTGTTGAATTCTTTTTAGAAACACTAGGAGCCCGAGTGGATGGACAGTATCAAAGAAAGAGAAAGGCAACATTCAAGGAAAGAGAATCTCTTATAAAAATTGACTTATTTTTCTCAACGTAAGATTGCAATACCATATTCTTAAGCATCTTTAGGCAGAGAATACTACTTGTATTCAGTCTCACCAAGCTCACAACTGACACGAGTGAAATTGAAAATGTATGTTTGTTTTAAATGCTACATTGCCTTACATTTTTTGACATAGATGTGTCTCAGAGTTTTGGTCAGTCGAAAATTTGCATCTTGATTTTTTGGCAGTAAAATTGTAACACTACAGATCACAACAACTGAGACAAATTTAACTCTTTAGGGAGGAGGTGTACAAAGCAACAGACATGAATAACTTATTCAAAAACATATTCCAAAGTTATTTCAACACTGTTTTCCCACAAACACTGAAAGAAGTAAAAAAGCAAAAACATCATGTGAAAGGAAATGAATCACGAATGAAACAATCCTTCATCACGAATGTAGCTCTGATTTCATTGCTTATTACAAAACATACAAAAGTATCTTGAAGAAAGTAATTAAACAGGCCAAACTGCTAATGAATGATCAATGTATTGCCAAAGCACAAAACAAAACAAAACCATGTGGAACATTGTGAAAAATACTCTTAAGAGCAGAGAACAGAAAAACTTAGAACATTGAACTTCACTACAAAAATAATGTTCTGTGCAACCCACAAGCAGTAGCAAACACATTCAATAGACATTTCTCAGAAATTGGAGAAAAATTAATTCCTGGCAACACCTTATATAATTATGCAGTCAAATACCCACAGATCAACAAATATAAACTCCATATATATCTGGGAAACATCACCTGCAGAAAAACAAAAAAATCATAAATCAAATGAAAAACAAATTCTCTACAGGACGATAATATCCCTGACACCCTCACTAAACAACTGCAACAAATATAATAAAACCACTTACTCACATTTGTAACCACTCCTCAATGACAGGTATCTTCTCAGAAATTTTCAAAAAAGCAAAAGTTAGGCCAATTTTCAAGAAAGGCAACACTCATGATCTCATGAATTACAGACAGATATTCTTATTATCTGGATTCTCAAAAATTCTAGAAAAGCTTTTTAATGATAGACTCAAAAATTTTCTCAGTTCAAATAACATATTGACAGAAAGGCCCAACATGGATTCAGAAATGGTAGATCTACAGACAAAATATCTTCACCTTTCTAAATGATATATTTGTTGCTCTACATCAGAAACAAATCCCCATTGGTTTGTTTCTAGATTTATCAAAGGTATTCGACATTATTGACCATCACACACTGTTATCCAAACTTGAAACATTGGGAATTAGAGGCATTGCACATCAATGGGCTAAATCTTACCTCTCAAATCGTTGTCAAGTAGTCACAATCAAGCATGTTAGAGATAAAGATTTCTACCCATTTCCCCCCGACCTAGAATGATAAATATGGAGTGCCACAAGGATCAATCCTAGGCCCCATACTATTTCTATTATATCATGACATGCCCCTAACACTACAAAAGAGCAAACTGATCCTATTTGCAGATGACACAAACATAATTATTAAAGCACATACCCAACAAACTCTACAAAAAGAAGCATAAACAGTCCTAGAGGCACTAGTAAAATAGTTCCAGGTAAATAAACTCATCATAAACACCAGTAAAACTGTCTCCCTAAACTTTCGGAATTCAAACTCTAAAGAAAAGCCTTCAGCACAATTGATAAAAAAAAATATGCCTATAAAAATAGCTCAAAAAACAACTTTCCTTGGATTGACTATTCAAGATGATCGAAAATGGAACTCCCATATCACAGATCTAAACAAGCTTACCAAGTCATGTTACACCATATACATCCTGAAGTCAAATTCTAACTTAGATACACTGCGAATGGTGTACTTCGCAAATGCTCACTCGCACCTACAATAAGAAATACTATACTGGGGAAATTCCCCAGAAACTATTCACACTTTCATCATCCAAAAACGGATATTGAGAACAATGACAAACACTCACAAACATGAGTCCTGCGAACCACTGTTCAAAAAATTACAAATACTACCATTCCTATGCATGTACATATTTGAAATATTAATCTTCACAAAGAAGACACTTATGGGAAACAAGGACTCTGTTACTCTGAACACAGAAGTTCATAACTATGATACTAGACAAAAAAGAAATCTGCATGTTCCATGCAGTGAAACTTCACTCTTTCAAAAAAGTACCCTTATAGAAGGCATTACACTATATAATAAACTTCCTAGTGAATTTAAAAGCTTAAACTTGATACACACATTCAAAAATAAACTGAAAGCTTTCCTGTTAAACCATAAAGTCCAAAGTACAAAAGAATATAAACATCTTAAACACGTTTTTACATCAATATAAACTAGTACTAATAATTTTTGTATTTTCTGTTGCATGATTTCACCCCCCCCCCTAAACTGGTTGTTGGACATAAAGAACGAACCCAGCCTAGATACGAATCTATGAAGACTTTTTTCCCCATTCTTTTTATTATTATTGATTTTTAACTTAAGTCTTCTTACACTCCCATCTATAAAATTAAATAGCATTCCATGATGTTTTTAATATGAGAATTTGAAATTTAATTTATATCTTGTATTTAATTTTAAGAAATATCTGTATTGTGTATTGTATGATTATATACAAATCCTGACTTGTCATACATGGCATATGCTGTATTTATGTGACAAATATATTATTATTAATTAAATAAATTTGTAATTAATACTCCACAAAACATACTTGAAAATTCTTTTGGGTGTAGAACACTTGGAAACAAGGCTAAACATCCAAAACAACTACAAATTAAGAAAAGTATAACCCAATAAATTGCTTTTTGGTATGTTCTCATATCTCCAGATATTGACAAATGAGACTACACAGAACTTCTCTCAGACCGAATTAGAAATGCAATGTACGAGAGCATGACACTGACAAACATAGTATTACTCAAATAAAAATATGTGTTTCATACTTTAATTTTCAATCAGTGACAACTATGAGAAACTTTAGTACCTCTTTAGTCCTCTAGACATTGACAAAAACATCACAGAATAAATCCTACAGAAACAAAAATAATTATACTTGAACATCAGAATAAAATGAGATGTGAAATACTTAATCTCAGAACTGCTACTTCACTCACAAAACAGTAGTACAACTCGCTAAGCACTCAAGAGCTTCACTCAAAGCATAGCAGTAGCTGCATATTTCTGAAATAAATATGCTGTCCATAACAGCAAGACACAACAGAAATAGATACACCCCCAAGCTTCAGAAATATAATACAGTAGTCAGTGGAATAGATCAATAACTGGCAGCTGGACAAAAAATTTGCGGCCACTAAACTGACCTTCCGCTGTCAAGGTTTTAAAAGAACAATATCAAGGGAAGGGAAGGTCTCAAAATAAATAATTACATCTACAAAAAATAATAATACAGAAAATGAAACTTCAAACATAAGTAGATATTACTATTAAAGGATACATTGTTATATATCTGCGCACATCTGCAACAGTATGAGTGAGATTAAAGCGCCCTAGGAGTCGAGAACCATCAGCAAGTCGGATTTGCACAGTGGTGGCTGGACGTTCAGGATCCACAGCAATTGCACCCTTTGCCTCCTCTTCATTTGCAACACGATCTTTGTCATCCAGTGCCACAGTAACACCAACAGCAGCTGGAGAAGGGCTACAACAAAATTAAATGCAACAAAAAACAATAATCAACATTCATATCTTACATGCAAATTATTCTTCAAAACAAACCAGTAAATGTTCAATTTTCTAATGTCAACATTCTATTTTCAATTTTATTACCCACTTCCAGTCCTTCACTCACAAAAGCCACTACTCTAGCCCAATTTCTACAATATGCATCTTATCATTATTAAATTTTACAAAATGTACGGGAAAAGCAGCAGTAGTGACCATAGTTACAAAGGTTTTTTCTTCTTCTTCTTCTTCTTCTTCTTAAAATTCTTGGGCTACAGTACTAAACTTTTTATGAGTAACTCAACAGGTGATTCTTTCTTAATACATTCCTTGCCTAAAAATGATAATTTTAAATTTAAAAAAAATTTCTTTTTAGATTTGATTGACTGACAAAGAGCAATTTTGGGGCACTTTAAGCCCCAAACAATACCAATACAGAATAAATAAATTATCTTCATTCTACTGAAAGACAAAGCTCTAGAAGTTTGAAGCAGGTGGGAAATTTCAATTCTTATTTTTCAAATTTTGTTCTTCAAGTGGCCACTCCTGGTGTCACTTGGTGCATGAAATTTTTCTAATAAAGTATGTTCTAATATAGTAAACATTTTCTAATAAAGTAAATAATTGTATTAAGAATTGTAGTAAAAGCATTGAAAAATTTGGAAAATTAATACTTGATAGATATCCCTACAAGAACAAATTTCAACAAAGAAAACAATGATAAATTAACAGTTGAAGAATTACGTATTTGATTTTACGACAATGTTTAAAGCAATTTCATTTCACGCACCATGTTCCTTATTTCTTTAATTGAAGTTAAAGAAATAAAATAAATAACAAAATATCACACTGAGGAAATCAAGTGAAAGACTGCCTCACAAGTCCTGTAAAATATTTGGTATTTAGTGATATATGATTTTCTAACATATTCTAGCTGTTTCCAAAATTTCCCAGATTAAATACGTAACAGTACACTATTGTCAGCAAAATATTGCTAAAATAAATAAGTTAATAGCAAGCCCAAATTACGTTGAGCAGTTGTAATACCTTAATAGATTCAATGCAACAAAATTTAAATACTATTTGCAAGAACTAATCGACTCACCTTCCTAACACATGACCTTTCCCAGTGAAAGCTTTCAACTTTGGTTTTGATGATGGAACAAATTCTACATGTCTATGGTCTTCCATGTTCAGATGTATTTCTTGGCCCTGTGCATCTCGAATCAACTCTTGAGGAAATTCACTGTAATCATCAATATCTAACAATAATGCAAGACACTAATAATCAAAGAAAATAAAAACTTCTGCATTAATGTTGAACTTCGAACTCACCCTCTACGAACAGACTCTAGAAATTCCCTGTTGTCAGGGTCAGTATAATTTCGAAGAGGTCCTTCATTAATACTAAAGCCCTCTTTCCACAATTTGAGCACAAATTCAGAATGAGACTGTTGCAAAGAACTCGATGATCGCACAACTAAAATATGAATTGCAACAATAGAAAAAGGGGGTAAAAGAGAGAGAATCATTTATATTTCAGTATGTTAACATAATTATAGAAATAATATTAAAATATTAGTCAACTATGAACTTTTAAAAATACACACCTTCTGAATCATTTCCAGTTTGACCTAAGCGGTAGCCAGTACCAGAAAATGTGGATGGTTTTTTCATTGAGGACGTAGCTTCTGGATCCACAACTTCAGCCCCATGTCTAGAAACATACATATTCTGAGTTTCATACAAAACAATATTTTCAAAACAATTTTCAAGCAACCTGGATTGATACAGAAATTTTATTTCTATATTTTTCTTACAACTTCCAAAACACTTTTCCCACCCATTTTTTAATCCCCAGTAAAGAATAAAATAAACACTTACTGTTGAACGGATCGGAACATCTCACTCACAATGTCTTTCTTTTTTTTCCCAGGTCCTAAGACCTGTTGGCCACTGTGTTCAGATCCTCCTGCATAAAATGCTTGGCCTTCCTCTTCATCGGAGCTACCTTCTTCACTCTGGTGTAAACTAGCAATTGTACCAAAACTGCAAATATTCAATTGTGCAATTTCAGAAGGCTGAGCGTATTGTATTAATAGTAAATAATAAAAGTAAGACTGAACTACACTTTCTCACCGAGAATTTTTCTTTTGCTGGGCAGCAGCTTTTCGAGTAGTCATAGTATGCTTCGAGGGAAGCTCATCATCAGCATCATTGTCTGGTTCTTCTATTGCTGGAGATTCGTCCTCACCATCATTCTCATAGAAACTAGCTAGTGCCATCTACGAAATATTGAAATTTTACAAACTGCGACGCTACTTATCGGAAAAAACACAAGTAATACGCCAATACTACATTCACTGTAACTAGCTGACAATAAAGAATACTACACGAAAGTTTAAGGTTACACCAAAAACGTTTGAGACAAAGACAAACAATCGATCATGTATATTACATCGTTAATTGATTTATGATAAGTGCTTTTGGACAATGTGAAACATGTTACATCAATGTCTTCATAAAACAACAATGTACCTCTAATTGCCATGCAGAAGATTCCAAGTAGAATTGAGCCCTATCTCTATCCACTCCCGTTACGTCCGCAAATTGAGACAACAATTCTTCTTTATTTGCCATGATTTAAGCGACGTATTAAAGAAGTGAAATATCAGTAATCAAGATTTCAAACACAAACAGTGCTCTTCTCAACTGCTGTCATTCTCCTCCGGAAGTATGACAATTGAAACCCTATGGTCACGATTCCATTGAATATTTATTTCTAAGAAATCCACAGACTGAACACTGAACAGTAACTAGCGCTCTCAACGTTTTGAGGTACAATTTAATTAAAATCTAAGAGGATAAAGCGTGAAGCGGTTAATATAAAAATAAGGAATATTCCAAAGGGTATTCTTGAACAAAGAATTATATGAAATAACTAAATCCGGACATTGCGTAATCGAATTCGTTTTTTAGATTATATATATTCAAAGTACTCAGGATAATTTACAATTCGTCCCTCCAATTTTTTTGGAAGAAAGAAAATAAGAGAAAAAATACTCAAAACACAGTAATTTTAATTAATTTTATCATTGTCTTCTTCATTTGCAAATAAAAAGAATTGTATAATGATGTTGCTTTCATAACATAAGCAAAGAAATTTAATTTGGTTTTCTCTCCTTTGATTCAGTTTTCAAAGTTTGCAGCATTTCCTGTCTATTTTGGTAGACAATTTGACTTCAGTTTGATGATATTGTATTATTTTCAAACTTCAAATTTCATAAGAACTCACATTGACTTGATTACAATGTTTCCGTTTTCATGGATAAATGAATTTCAAACTTCGGAGAGGTGATTTGTCTTTCTTTTCAATGTTTTAAATTTGAATTTAAAAAATTTCAACGTTTTTAAATTTGATAATAATTTTTTTTTTTTTTTTTTTTTTTTCAGGGATACAATTTCTGAAAGCACAGGATGTTTATTGTCTCAAGCTAATAAAACAATTCATGAAAAGATTTTATATTTTCTTAATTTAACTGGTAGTTTAAGTAAAGTGGAAGAAGCTTTTATAAAGTATGATAACAATCTTAAAAATTTTCCTGAACAGAAAAGTCTTTTTCCATCTTTAAGAGTTCCTCTTGAAATTGACCTAAAGGAGATACAAGAAATTTCTGGTACATAATAAAATTATACTAAATTTATTATTAATCTAAAAATATTCTCACTTTGAAATATGAAACTGATATTACAGGTGATTACATCTTAAAACTGTTAATTAATGAACCACAAATGACTTCTTCCATTGTACAAAGGGTCATTTACACCTACATTGTCTCTAAATTATCCCTGGAAGATTTTCAACAGCAACAATTAGAAATACCACTAAAAATTAAGTCACTGAGTGATCTTACTGTATGTAGTATTTCAAACATTCATGTTGGAAAACTTACTTTATTACGAGGAACTTTACTTTCTATTTCCACACCAACTAAATTCATGTAAGTTTTACAAGTGTAATTAAATTAATTTAAAAAAAAATGCTTCTCCTGATTTTAATTTTAGTTTGTCTAATTATTTTTACATTTCCGAATAGTCGCAGCTATGGTTTAAAATGTTCACTGACCTCTTGTAATTCTAAGGGGCAAAGGGTAATAGGTGCACCACCACAAAGAATTTCCCTGTGCAGCTTGTGTGGAAATAGTTTGCAAGAAGTACCAGAAGCTTGTGAAATGGGAGAACAAACTTCAGGTTTTCTGGTAGTGCTTCCAGAATATCAAAATCTTCATAATACAGCATTTAATAAGCAAGCTATTCTGTTGTGCTTTAAAGGTAAATGACATCGAAACAATAAAATATCAATTATAAAGCCTATTCATTTTAGAATTGAATATACAAGACAGTTTCATGGAATTTTTCAATATTATTTTAATTCATAATCTAGTTATTTGTTTAAATTCAATCTTCCTGATTTGACACATTCATTTTTACATCATAATGATCATGCTAAACAAATATTTTTATTAATGACATCATTTTTCGAAACAAAATATGTCATAAATTGACGGTGTTGTGACAACATTGTAACCCATGATTCACATGTCCAAACTCAAGATCATAGAATTTCTCAAAACAAACAAACAAACAAACAAACAAACATTATGATCTAAACAGTTTACAAAGATGTTCATCAATCTACAGAGTGGGAACAGAAATCAGCAAGCAGTATATAGAATGTCTCAGAAAGAATGATAAAATTTCCAGCCATGTAGAGAGATTGGAGATTATAACTTTTTGCCAATGAACCTGTCGTTGAGGTTTTTTGTAATAAGTTAATATCTGACATTTGTTCATGATTGTTAGGTGACACCTCAGCTGCTGGTGTTTGGTAGGTCACATCAAACTGGCTGTGATGGCACAGAGCATCAACTGCCGTAACTGCAGAACCTCTGACCTGGAGGTCATAGATATTTTAATTTTTTTGGAGCGGTGTTCTTTTTTTGATGCTACACGTCTTCAAACCCTCGTTTGAATTAAATTTCCATTAATTTTTTATTTTTATTTTTGTCACTTTGTTGTGTCCCTGTCAGTCAGTGCCTTTTATCCTATCAGCTAAGGGGTTGACACCATTAGTAACTGAAGCTCCTAGCCAATTAGCAATCTGCAGTCTCAAATTGCTTAACGTCCGTGAGTCGCTAGTGGGAAATACCTGGTTTGGGCAAAACAGCACTTGCCTAATGGTAGGATGGTGCCAGATCTCATCATCCAAGGGGAAAGATCACATCACCTTTCACTATAAATATAATTCACGACTAATGACCTTAGCAGTTGACACATCAGGAAACATTAAACGATCAATTAATCCGACTCAGTGAAAGTGTTTGTTTACTTGCCAAACACCACTGTGTGAGGAGTTGCTTAACAGTCAGGGGTAAATTTAACAGTTTAAAGAATTTTCACACCGTATATTCATTGGCGAAAAGTTATCATCTTTGACTCCTCCACATGTCATAGATATTTGCAGCATTTATTCTCAGAAACCACTATCATAGCTTAAGGATGATATATGGCTAATATTAGAATTGCTCAGTTAAAACTCACATTAGCCAGACAGTGTGGATAAATGAATTGAATATAATTCTTTGATAAAAAGTTTCTAATAATACACTTATTTGATACCTATGTTACTTTCTCACATACAATTATAGTAGAATGCCTCACATAATAACACAGCATAGAGACAGTATTATAATCCTGCAGAGAGAAAAACATGACATTTTTAAAGAAAACTTCATTTTCCGAATTCCTGATAACAAAAAAGTGGAATATTCTTGTTCCTACATGCAGTACATAACTTATCCTAACACACTGCATATTCAGAAACCATGCTTTATGGGTCCATAACACCACAAAATTTGTTCACAGCAAAATATTCGTCCACCTGTCCATCTGAGAACAACTCTAGCTATTAAAGTGCAGGCAAGGTTTCCTCCAAAACTCATAGTCCCCATTGATCTGACTGATGTCATGACACATTGAATTTGAAATTGATATTTTGATTTTTAAGGATTCTTTTCATGAAACCTCAATGACAAAGTACACTTAAAAATGGCACAGGTCTGATTTTCATTGAATTCTCTGAATTTTTCAAATTCCAGATGTTTACATTTTTTCAGTCATTCTACAACTAAAATATTGAAGATAAATTTTTTTTCTTAATGACGTCTTCTTTAAAATTACATTTTTAAATGAGGTCATGTAAAACTTTTTGAATGCATGAGTAGTTTTTGTGAAATTGAAGAAATGAAGAAAAGAAGAAATAAAAACAATTAAAAAAAAAACAAAGTTTTTCTCCAAAATGGCTCCAAATTTTTTATTCACTGTTTTCCCCTTAGAAAGTGTTATATGTACTTATAAAAATAGAACAGGTGTAATTTTCAACAAACTCTTCGAATTCTCAAAAATTTCCAGTTGTAAATGATATGAGAAAGTACGTGCTGTTGTAGCTCCAAAAGTATGAAAAAAGACATTTCTTCTTTGCAAACATATTTTTTATGAACCTTAGCTCAAATCTTGCAGAGAACTTTGTTTGTACTGACAGCACAGAGACAAAATTACATTAAAACATGACCACCAAATGATGAAAATCAGATCACTTTAGAATCTGGATTGTGTGCACACTTGCATAAGAATATGAGATCAGGGTATGAAATGTAATGATAATTTAACTAACAATTTATTTTTCTTTCAGACGAAACAATGAGAGGTCTTGAGCCGGGTTTGGAATATGAGATTGCTGGTCAAATGACTCTTAAATCATTTCAAGTTTGGGCTGTTCAAAGAAAATGTCATATTAATCAAGAAATTGATTTTCATTCCATACCTTCCAGTATCCGAAAGTTACAACAAGATATTGAGTGAGACATTGGCTATACTCATAGCTGTTAAGACAAATTTTTCTATTACTGTTTTCTAGGGGAGTAAAAGTTACAATTAATTAATAATTTTCAATAGATAATAGCTCAATTAAGTGTATTCTCTATACTAGTGATATTTGTTCATTTAGTTATTGATAGTTTTACTGGTTAAAAATAAAATTAGTACTTCACATATTGATTTTTACACTTCGTTCTGACATTGTTGAATTGCTGTTAAAATTTGGTAGAGATGACAAAGTAAATGTTACAAATCTCTAGAGCATGTAGAGGGGTTGAAAATGATCACTTGTTATCAAAGAAGATGTGGTGAGAAATGCTTTCTGGAAATAATTTTTCTATTTGCTAATGAAAATAGTCAGTCCGAAACAATTTTTGTAAACTGTTTCTGTGTGTTGCTGGTATAATTAGTTATTGATAGGTATTTTAAGTTTATATGCAAACAAATGCTTCTGTATACAAGTAATACACATTATACTTCCAAAGTGATTTTGAAGTTCTCGATCAAGTTTTGAATTACACATTTATGTAAAAGTTTCTTGCATGTATTTTTTATTTCTCTTTCATTTGGTGTCACTGTTTTCCTCCTTTTAAAATTTGCCCCCTCCCCCAATACTGTGTTAATATCAAAATTTGAATTTACACACATTTCCGGTGATAAAAGGCATGTTACCAAACAAATTTCTGACATACCTTATTGACTGTTTGTGTGCCTCTACTACTAAAATATTGGCTTTTCTTTTTGTCCAAAGATGCTTGATGTCCTTTTTCTTTTGTTTTCTTTCTTGGTTCATAGTTTTGAGTTTCCTGGAAAAGAAAACTTTTCTTAATTTATCAATTAAACGTTTTCAAAACAGACTTTCAAAACTTTGAACATAAACAATTCTACAAGAATGTTTTTCTTCATATACTTTATTTTTCATATTTTACAATAAGTTTTGCATTTAATTACATTAAAATTCATAAATACATCAGTAAAAAGAAATGAATTCATGCAAAAGTTTAAGTGCATAATATTATTTACAAAAAGTTATCTTTACATATAAAATATTCCTTAATACCAGAAAAAATTCACTGCATAACATATGAAGACAACTTTCAAATGTTTCTCATGATTAATAGTAAAAAAGAAACATCTTTTGTTGTTAGATGGATGAGAATTCTTCCACACCCCTGAAAGAAATTTTGTTTATAGATAATCTTTGGATATAATTTCATTTATAAAGTAAATTGAAGAAAAAATAAAATATTTTAAAACCTACCAAATTTTTGCAATATTTAATATAATGAGATTTAGTGTTCTAGACATTTTAAACATAATGAAGATTGTTGTTCTGTCTTTTATACCATGTCAGAGTGGTGTAAACTTACATAGGTAAAACATTGTAATAAAACTGCATAATTAAATGTCAGATGTGGTTAATCATTAAATTGCAATATTTGTAAGCAGAATTGTACCATTTGAAGATTTTCTTTTGAGGGAGTTCAATGAGAGAATATGTGATATCATATTCAATATTAAACGGGTGAAGACATTTTAACATAACATTTCAGATAGCTCATTTATGAAATGCTGGTAAATTTTTATGTCAGTGTCATGTGAAAAGCCTTGATAGCATTTATAGACAGTAAATCATAACATGTGACGTTTATAACTGCAAAAAGAACTGATGTCACAACATTCAGCATGATTATTTTATTTTAGGATGGGTTGTAGCTTCCTATTTAAGTGCTTGCTTAAAGGGGTAGATAATAATCGGCTAGATTTTGCTTAAGTGTTGTAAATCTTTTGTTTGCTGCTTGATCATTTATTAAAATTATTAAATTTTGGTCATTCTATTAATTGATTCTGGTAATTCCTCAGAATTTTGTGCCCTGATTCTCCTTGGACTTTTGTGGGCTCATTAGCATCTGCATTGTCAGCCAATGATTCCTCAGAAACTTGCTTTTTTAATTTAAAAATGGGTCTTCTTTTGAGCCTGGCTTCACAGGTATGTTTTCACAGATTCTTTCATTATTAATATGACAATTATTATTGTTATCAGACATAATGGCAATGTCTTTCTCTGTCAGGATTTTTGTATGATTATCCACACTGAAGCTCATGATTCTGGAGTTTGTTTTGTTGTCTTCTTTGGAATAGTTAAAGAAACATTATGAAATTATTTAAAATTGAGGGGTTCAAAACTGGTTATAATGTTTCTTTATTCTTTTTTTTTTTTTTATGACATGTTTTAATTTGACTTAAAATGATGGCAATTATAGTATTTATTAGAAAAAGTTTTTTTCTTATTTTGAATAATACTGTTTTCTTTCCAGTTCAGTAATCAGGTTTTCTTTCACTTCTGCCATAAAATCAAAGGTGCTTAATTGAAAATGTGTGAAAACTTAAAGAAACATTCGTTGTGACAGTGTAGGTTGCAATCAGAGGCATAGCTATGTCTTGGCAGTCTAAGTGCTTAGGGTTCCAATGTGGCCTCCATTGACATTGCCATCTTTCTGGAGGATCAGTAGTTGTCCTCATTCAAAACCCTTGGCTTGGGGTGCCCTGGGATGCATATGGGCTGTACCAGTGTAGCTAAGCCCCAGATTGCAATATGTGAGACAAATACAAAGATATAATATTTTGGGAAAGCAGAGAAAAAAATATTGATAGCCTAATTACTACAGCAATGATCATGCAATTCTCTGCCCTTTTCTCATTATAAAGATTGTGTTTTGACCAAATATGATGAATCTAAATGAAAACAAGACAGGAACCTACAAGGATTCATTTCTAAGAAAGAACTGAATTTAGTCACAATCAGAGGTACACTGTTGCTAACTTGCCATTCCAGTAGGTATTGCTCTTTGGGAGTCAGTTGTATACCCTTTTGGGAGTTTGCGGTCTGTGTGTGTGTGGAGGTATGCTGCAATGCTGGAATGCCCCTCCTCTAGAAAATTCAATGCCCTCTGCTTGGAAAGAATTAATATCTCCTTGCCACCTTGCCAGGAAAGCAATTAATCCATTTAAAATACATCGGTTAGGATTTCCCCACCTCGGAATTTTCAAATTAAAGAATTCCATCAGAATATCAGACAAGAAAATGTTTTTAAGAGAATTATTTGGATTCATTCAGAGTATGTGGTGTAGGCAAAGATGTTCTCATCATTCTTCTATTTGTTCCTTCACAGAGTTTGGAAGGTCTCTCTGTAGTTAAATCTGTCAATTTGCATCCTACTCGAGAAACTGTGAAAAAGATGTAGTACCTGCTTTTCGATCAAACATTTTTGTCTTCAATACCAATATTACAGAAATCACTAAACTAATTTGTTAATTGAAATGTTATCCAAACTTTAACAAGACCTCTAAATCAAGAATAAGAAATCTTACAAGTATGCTAACTTTTTAACAAATGCATTACCTCACTACTAAAACAGCATTAGAATTAAAGGTCTGCATGTAACTGAATGTTGTTTTTAATGCAGTAAATTTGGAAGCGGGCTCTGACCTCTTCTAACAAAGCTGCCATCATTGCTAGCTGTAGCATCATTAGAAATGCCATCACTGTTAAAATCATTATCAATAGCAATGTCATTAGTAAGTATATTATCATTCTTCTGAGAAAAGGCGATAGACCTTCAACATTTTTCTTCCATTTGAAAGAATTAAATGTAGATCCTCCTCTTGGCATGTATTTTTATTTGGCTTTTAAAGTACTCCTCTCAGGATCTGTCTATCTTTACAGTTTACTGGCTTTCTGAAAATTGGTGTTGTAGGTAATATTTAATTTAATATTATTCTTTTTCTTATCCATGGAAAATTCATTGCACCCAGACATGAGCTGTAAAAAGGTATTGAATATAATAATTTTCAACAATTTCAGATTAGATAAGTTAAATTACAGTTTTCATTACATCATTACATGATCAAAGGCACCAACTCAAAGACGCTAAACTATCTAAATTATAAGGTGTAGTTTTTTAATTTCAAAATGAGGGTCCTTGATGTCTTCTTCAAAATCTTATTAATAGAAACTTCCAAAAGAAATGAGTGGACAGGGAGAATATTTTTCCCTTTATTTTAATGCTTTATAATTCTTATGCATTAAATACAAGGAAATAAATATTAATATGTTTTAAATTTCTTTTGATTGCTTTATATTAGTATTGTCAACACATTGTGCAAAGTCAGACTTCTTTTGATAAAATAAAAAACATTATTCACTCATTTGATCATGGATTAAATTCACTTTAATTTATAGTGAATCTCTGCCCTACATATGGAATGATCAGTTAATAGCTAAGCTATACAATCCAAGTGCAAGTGATTGGTTTTCTCGCAATAAATGTTCAGAATTACAAGTTGCATTAGCTGGTTCGAAGACATTATTGGCCTCCAATAGTTATTCAGTCTTATCAGATTTGAAAAAGCCCTTCTGCTGGTAAAATTAGTCTAGGAGAGTAGTAAGAAACTTTAAAAGCAAGGTCCTGATATGCGCTCTATTGTAATATCAACCACAGCTGCTGTATTGAGAGCACTTTCATTAATACTCATTTTTCAAGGTACCTATCTAAAACATACAGTTTATCTTACAATTAGTGTTGAATCAGGCTGTAACTCACTGTTCATATCATCATCACATGTACACAGGGGTCCAGAGAGTCAAGGCTTTCCTGAAAATTTTGAAAGGGCACCCATACCCTTACAAAATAAAAATAAAAAAATGTTTCTTGTAAATACCTATGTCCAACTCTTATGTTCCTCTTTAAAATGTCTCGCCTTACTAGAAGTACTTACATAGTAAAGAGAAAGTTTTGTAATGCTGCTGCAAAAATCACCCATTTTTGGGCAAAAAATCGTATTGTGGAGCCCTGCTACAGAAAGAGTGGACAAATCTTGTTCTTACATTTAGTTAATTACTTGCACGCGTTGCGTAGTCAGAATTCATGTGTTTGGGTACTTGATACCGAGAATTGTTTAACAGCAAAACATCTGTTTCTCCTCTGCGGTAAACGATAACACCTAAACCCTTCAGATGATTTTCTCCAAAATTGATATTTTTCGATCGATCTGGGCGAACAAAAGATCCTGCGAGTTTTAAACAGATATTTTGATTTTGCAGGACACTGTACATGAAGCGTCAACATTTTAAAAATTTCCTTGAAGAATGGATCCAATTTTTTTTACACCTTGTTCGCGAATAGCGTAAAAAACGCTTAAAAATATGACAAGTTAATTTTCGTTAAAAATTTGCAAAAGATCATACAAAATTTGCCATCTTCCTACATTTACAATATTGAAGATAAGAGTTGTTTTCCTTAATAAAGTTGTTCTTCAAAGACATCCTGAAATAAGGTCATAAACATATTTTCTTAAATATGAGTAGTTTCAGTGAAAAGTGGACAATATTTCAAAAATATATTTTCTAAAAAACGGCTTCAATTTCTTTTTCTTCAAACTTTTCCCTCGTATGTAGCAAAGGAAGGTGAAAACCCGCTGCTGGTCACATGTTCGGCAAACACACTGTATTTTCGAAAATTGAAAAAAGATGCAGAATCACAAGTTTTTTCTTCAATAATTTTTTTTAGAAATTAGATTTTTTTTTAAACATTATGATTTTTGAAAAAAGAATCGTTTTTGCGTTATTTCTGTTTGAAGTAAATATATTTTTTATATCTCAAAAAGTCTCTAAATCAATTCTTTAAATTTTTCCACGGATAGGCCAAAGGACGCTTAAAAAATAGTTCAGGTTACATTTTTGATGAATACTCAGAATTTTCGAAAATTGCAAAGTTATAAATAATGCGAGAATATAACTAGTGTCCTAGTTTCTCTATTCGATAATCTCCGAACTTCCATTTTTGTCGTCAATTTGGTACATAAGCGGACGCTATTCTCTCTCTCACCCCCCCCTCTCTCTCTCTCTCTCTCTGATACAATGCGTATTATTTAAACTGAGGATATTAACGAAGGTCGCGCTTCAAGTGCACACTACCTTTTATACACAGCAGATGGCAGGCCACTAGAGATATACGGTGAAAATGGAATAAAAGCAAGAATTTGTTACATACACTACCCTAATTGGGGCATACCACGTGAACTGTTAAACGCTACTGGTGATGATTTCATTAATGGAATAATCACCCCAATCCAGCTAATTTACCTCAACAATTTGCAATATTTTCCGTACATTTAATTTACAATGTTTTTTGTTTTTATTAGTCCAGAACTGGCTCCTCCGAAATTTATTTAGGAACGGGGGACGAAGGGGCCGTGCCTCCTGGAGTTGGCGCCTATGATATTTCAGATTTCTTTCCGTGTCTGCTTCAAATGTTTCGTTGCACTTCGCAAAAGACAAAATTAAGTATTAATGCTGATTGAATATTAGCACCAGTGTGATAACCGATGATGAAGTAAAAGAAAATTCTCTCTTTTTTTCTTAAATATCGTTTAAAATTGTAACATTATTATGAGCATACAATTCAATTAATGGAATTCACAAGAATAATCTATAATCTATATCACAATATCTTCGACATAAAACAATTACTATAACAATTACTAATAAACTTCACTTCGTAGAGCAAAAAACACGTTATTTTAAGAAGTGAATATGTAGTGGAATTGAAACATCGCCAAGTGAAATCTGACTAACAAGTTGAAAGTAATTAAAATAAATTTTGTTTTTCACGTACTAGGTCTATCTGTTTGAAAAGGTAAAAATATTTCATGAGAAATTTATAATATCAATTAAAAGGTAAGTCTTTTAAAAGTAGTTACTTCAAACAATCTATTCTGTAATAGGTAGTGAATAGAAGAAACTAAAAAAAATTGCAATGAAATATTTGCATCCTCTTTTATTTTCTCATTGATAAAAAGTACCTGAAAATGGGGGACGAGCTTTCAGCATCTGTCTTGCATGAGGTGAACAGTTTCTCGATCTTTGTATTTAAACCACGAAACATGACATTAACTAACCTTTTTGTTAAGAACATATTTTTTTTTAAAAAAACATGCAAATATTTACATATAATAAACAATAGAACTACGACCTGCGTTCGATTTGATTAACAGTGAAGGATTTTAATAGTAAACGATACTTCTCGACGAGATCGATAAAAATGATAGTCTTCTTGACATTCATAATGAAAGAATAAAAGGGAATTTGAGGTATTTCCCCTTAATTGTTTTGCTTTCTCACATAGTACATTCGTACTATAGAAAAAGTTATGCATAGATACAGCGAAAACCGGCGATTTTCGGCATAAAAATTTGCATTGTGGATCCATGATATAAAAAAGTGGATAATCCTGTTCCTATACGGAGTAAATTACTTCCTCTTAACACATTGTGTAGTCAGAAACCACGTTTTGTAAGTGCTTGATACCGAAAAATTGGTTCACGGCAAAACGTCCGTCTGTGTTTTCCGTCCGTCCGTTCGTCAATCCGTCTCTGATCAATGCTACCGGCTATACCAACGATTTCTTGTAACGATTTCTGTCGTTCATAATACTGGAATGCAAAAATAACAATTTTCTTTTCGTATATTACATTCAAGCTTACCACTCTGATACGTCATTAGTGCTCGGAGTGGGAAAAGATTCCATAACCAGGTTCAACACGGACATTTTTCAGTACCGAAAATGGATGGAGAAGGGACGTTCGTGTCAACGCGATACTGTTTCGGTATCAAAACCGCAAGAACGGATTAGAGAGTTACAGTAATTTCGTTTTCTGCACGTAATTGCGATGAAAATATTTCCTCTGGACGCCGCAAAAAGCGCGAAGATTAAGTAGTTGAACATAGCACCATGATATCAAATTAAGTAAGGTCATATTAGGACTGAGCAGGGTACGAGACATTAGAACACAGAACATCTTTTATCTCTCTCTGCAGTATTACTTCACATTACAAATCGGCATTTTAGAACGCTCTCGAAACTGTACAAAAAGGACAAATCGCACCAGGCGCATAGCAAACCACAGAAAGTTCCGAAAAGTGATGACAGGAGCGCGGTAGTAAAAGTAGATGAAATCTGTATCAAAAAATGACGCAGGCATCATTTGTTCATACAAAGCATATTCAGTCATGTCCGTCTTTTTTGTGAACCGACGAAAAATGATGAAACTAGTGGTGCGGTTTCAAATTCAAGGGGCAGCGACAATAGTCAGCTCCATAGGCGGGTATCAATTTTGGATAAAATACGCTGAACGCTTTAGCCGCTAGCTTTGTTAACAGATGGACGAACAAACAGTTTTACCGTCATTTGATTTTTCGAAATCAAGAACCCACAAAACATGAATTTTGGCTCCACTACGCGTAAGAGGATTTTATTTCTAAATTTCTAAAAAAAACTGGATTTATCCACTTTTTACTATCCCGTATAGGGAGTAATATTATGTAGTACATGGAAAGTATGTAATGGTGCGGAAAATCGATTCGGAGATTTCAACGGAAGTATACGTTTTGGGGACCCCTGATAACGACAAGGTTTTTTTTTAAACGTTCGTCTGTCTGCCTGTCTGTCCGTTCGCGAACATCATTAGCCCCTAAACTACACGTAGGATTTTTTGGTCGATTTGACCATCGAACCAATCGAAGCTTTGAGATTTTTAAAAATGTTCTTTAAAATTATGAGGTACAAGAAGCCCACCGGACACTTTCAAAATTTTCTCAAAAATGCTCCGAATTTTTATTCAAATTTCTTGTAAGAATAGAGTATAATTATCACTTATAGTGCTGGAAAAGAGCTTCAAATTTCGAATTTACATATTCTTAAAAACGGCCCCAAATTTTTCAATAAAATTGGAAATTTGGAAAAGGTTTTACTGTTCTTTAATACTCTTTAAATTAATATTTCCGTTCTACTATTAGGAAACCGAAAAATTATAAGAAAAAAATCCCAAAAAATGTACTTTGGGCGACGATAGATGGCAGCTGGCAAGGGTATGTGGCAAGCCCAAATAATTAACCTAGACCAAAGGAAATAGAAAAATAATAGTGGTAGTTTGTGCCATTCTGTAGCACCACTTTTTCGTTTCCAGGGCGGGCGCAGTCATATGAGTTTTTCTGACGAAAATTCGCCTTTTTTTTCCGCAGCATTTCAACGCTTTGTAGTGCGTAGGTAGAAGGTAAGCGGGGCCGTGCGCTGCGCAGGGCGAGGCGGGCGGGGGCGGCGGGGCGCGGCCCGTGGCGGTGGCGGCGGTGGGACCCGAGACGCGGGCGGCGCACCGCCTGATGCGGCGCGCGGCGGCGCTGCGGCGAAGGGGCGCGCCGCTCGAGTGGGGCGCCGCGCCCGGCGGCCAGCTGCGCTGGGACGCCGCGCAGGGCCTGGGCTGGGCGGAGGCCGGGCCGCTGCTGCTGGCCGCCGGCGGCGTCTGCTGCCTCGGCGACTGGGCCAAGCTGCGACCCAAGGCCGCGCAGGCCGTGCTCTCAGGTACCGCCTCTGGCTTGCCTTCGTTAGTGGACGACCGAGGCCGTCAGTGCAGCGCATGCTTACGCGGCCGGAGTCAATGCATTCTTGGCTATCCGGGAAGGCCACAGCAAGATGGCCGAAACGTCACAACAATCCCGGCTGACGCGGCTCATCCCGAAAAGCCATGAATGTAGTGTAGTGCATGTTTAATCACTAGAGGCGTCGGTGATATTCCCTAGCTGGATGGCGAGATCCGGTGTCGACCTACACGCCGGCGTGCGGGATTTGTTTGCAACCAGGTACTCATACCAGCGGGACAGCGCTCCAGCCGGGATACGCTGTAAGCTCCCGACTGTGTGGTCGTGTAGTGCGAGTAAGTGTGTTGAGGATAGGACCAGGAAGAAGGCGAGAGGCGCGCAGTTTGTGGCCCGTTTGTTAGGGTTCACCTGGTGGCATTCCCCTGGTTCCACCTCTTGTGACCGGAGTTTCGGCGCCCGAGTGGCAAAGGGCGCGCGGTAGGTTTTCTCGGGCTTCTCCTGCTTCCTCAGTCTGTCATTTCGCCATTGCTCCATCATTGTTCAACGCGTCAACATCGCCATCCATCCATCATTACTACTCGTATTCATCCCAAAAAACCAAATTGGGGAGGATCATAATAAAGATGATGAAAAAAGAACTCAAATGTCGGGGGGGGGGTGCAGGACCTCGGTTCTAGGCCTAATGGAGGAGTAAAGACGTCCTCGGTTTGCTGAGTTTCTCGGCGGTCGTCACGGCGTCAGAGCCAAATGCAGAGCAGTGGCCGGACCTGTCTCCCCGGATGGCCGGACTCCCCGTGGCAATGATCGGGGGAAATTGATTACGAACGTGCTCCGACCCATTATGGTTTTCACTCTACGAACCTCAGAACCGGACGCTCCCTACCTAGAGCGTTTCATCCAAAAAGTTGGATAAAACTTTTGGAGGTCACGTTCAGGCGTTCTTCATGTGACAGGGAACGGTAAGAATGAGAGAAAGTTTGGTTTCCAATTTTGGGCCCTCCTGGTAAAAGTGACCGTGCATGATAAAGCAGTCCACATTTATGGAATGGAGAATGAATTTGACGACCGGCTTCGACATCGACATGACGGATGTTAAACGTGAGTAATACCTATAGCTACGGTTCTTAAAATTTGTTTGTTTCGAAAGGGGCGCGTGGAGATTGGTTCATTGGGCTACCTCCAACACGCCTGGGCAAAATGTTGGAGATTTGTTATTTGGCAACCTGTAGACTTCCAGCGTTGTCAGAAAATTTCGAGTACCACATGATCCTCCAGGAAACATCACAATTACTATCTCAGAAATATTTATTCATTGAGGCGTTTCCGACTAAGCGAATGCGGGGTCTGATGATTACGGATTGTCGGAGGATTTAATTTCACCGGGATAGGGTTCTCTTTCACGTCGCAAGTACGATATAGCCACTGTCGATTTTCCGACTTTAGAAATTCCTCCCTTCTCGGCCGGAATCAAACCATCGCCCTGGGGTTTGAGAGCCCGTAAGGGAACCACTCTCCCCTGCGAGAGGTGTGCAATGGTTCTTGAAGTTGGGCTCACGTACGGTCTCAGGTGTTTCCTGGAAATCCAGGAAAACATTAACGAAAATTTTACTTTTAATCCTCTAAGGATCTCGTTTAATTTCAAAATGATGTTTGTGCTTCTGTGTACGCTTCGTTTACGCTTTTTTGAGTTATATTTGAATATATTCCTTTTAAAAAATCTTGAAAAATGCCTAATACTTGAATTAAAATTCATAATTTATACTTTAAAAAATTGTGAAAAAAAAAACAAAAGAAAATAATAACGCAACATTCACTTCCTCAAGAGATCCCCGCATCTGTTTTAACTCTTATTTTAGGCTTAAAGGAACCAGCATAGATACATTTAACGTTGTTTGAAGTTTTTAAGCCTTTTTCGCAAAAGCGCAATATAAATTATTTTCCGTTGTCAGAACGCAACATCGCTTTTTTATTTCGTACGGTTGCCACAAAGAGGTGATCCTTCCAGTGTCAAGTGCCTAACTTCTCAACCAGAACTTTTTAAATTGTAAAGAAACACTGCGACTTTCTTCCTTTAGTTTTCCAAGAAATCCTAACAGTTAACAAAACAAATTTGTTGCAGCTGTGGAAACTGGCTATGTGCACGTAGACTCCCAAAATGTCAAGAATTTAACACCTCCTTCCTTTCCTTTACGTTGTTCGGTGTGGACCTACTTGCTCTGGAGTAAGAAAAATAAAAATGGTATCAACTCAATAAAACCTCTGACACAGTAAATATTTACATTTTATTTCTTCTAATATACGATCATTTTTAATGGTAATCGGCTTTAATGAGTGGCATTATTAAAACAACCGTATATTATTTATTTTTGGGAAGCTTTAAATAAGTTTCATTTTATCATTTAAACTTTCATGACTTCACTCTTCTTTCATGACATTTGCAGAACATTTGGAGTCCCATTTTTGGCTGCAGATGATAATAATTCAGAACAAATAATACACTCTACTTTATTACGGTTCATGAGACACTCGTCACCTTCTCCTATAGTGTCTGATGATGACTTCAAGGAGGTAAGGTAAAACGTAAAATACAGTTATTAATTTACCTTGTGATTGAACATTTTTATTTACAGCCAAAATGGCATTTCCATTTTAAAATATCGCTGTTATTTGCAGTATCTAAACTTAGTAACGCTGAAGGAAGTAAGCATTAGTGCTGCCGCAAGCCAATTAATTCAAAAGTATTTTGTAGCGAGTCGAAGAGCACAACCAGAGCGATTGCCTGTCAATGCTGTTGGTATTATGTACGTATTACGGTTTTAATATTACAAAGATAATATATGAATCAGTTTTAAACTAATAAATGAACTACCTTGTTTTAAAACAATCTAATCATAAGGAGGTTTCCACTTCCAAAATCGAATCGTAAAGAGGTTTCCATTTACTGTTTTCATTACTCTAAATTAAATTAAATCGTGGATTAAATCATTTGATGTAAGTACACGAATATGTCGAGAACGGTACGAGATACGAAAAACCTTATTAGTGTATTAATGGGTAGAGTATGATGTATGCACTAAGAGTGTAGGATTTAGGTGTTTCAAGAAATCGAAATTATCTGTCGATTGCTTGTACTTCTTTACTTGTGAACTAGATTCCAGCAACAAACCAACGATTCGTTGAAAAACGTAATTTTGTAGAAAGCCACATGTTGCTGGAGACAACACATTTTACATTATTTTACAAAATGTAATGAGCATATTTATGCATAATCATCTGATTATCATTTAATATACGTAAGTTATCATAGTTTTCCTCTCTTTTTAGTGCTTATTTCATTGCTTATCTATTAAATTGATGTATTTATTTTGCAGTACTTCACTTTCAGAAGCTTATGCACGTTTAACTTTGAAAGACGAAGTAACCCCCGAACACGTTATTGCAGTTTTGCAACTTTACGAGGAATCTCTTTGCTACTTACATGGAGTTAGTGTTATAAATGCTCCTCCTCCTGTTGTGTTATCCTCTGGAATATTTACACCGCAGTGGGTGAGTTGATACAAATCTCTATGAAATACTGTTTTTCGGGTAGGCACGCCCTGATCTAATGGAAATTACATGTCCAACTTTCGTGCGATGTCCTCGATAGTGACGCCGTCACGAGCAAAGCTGTGAGGCTGGAGGCTAAATGGAGACTGCCGTAGAAAAGTTCGTAAGACCCCACCACTTCTGGGCTCTAAATGAAATGTTCACATCACAGGATCACTTCAGGATACAAACTAATGGGCCGCACAGACTAGTATGCACAATAAAGTTGCAAGTACTCTTATTCGTCATAAACTGGAGGAGGAAAACAAACGACTTGTCCATATTATCAATTTTTTTCCCGACAAAGTACTTGAAAATTCAAAGTACAAGTTGTACAATGACGAGAGAAGTAATCAGAGATAAAACCATTCATCACAACAGACCACACTTAAGATTTACAGAAAAACAGCAAAGGATTAGCTATCTAGTCACAAACAGCAAATCTTCAAATAGCATATGCAGAATAAAAATAACGAAGTACATAGAACTATAAGGAGAAGTCAAGGCTTACGGCATCTCCGAAAACTCCATATTATTTCTCTGGTCATTTCTTACACGAGGGTTATACCAAACAACATGCATAGAAATTTAGAACTTATTCAAATACTCAAAGATACCTTCAAAATTATGCAAACGTCTGTTATTTTGAACACGTGAAAATTTCTGAATTGTGACGAAACATGAATTGACGAGTGTCTTGGTTACTAACCCGACAAAAATTCAACTAAAATCCGGGTTAATGCAAACTATAAACAAACTACATATATACGACTTGAATTCTTGAACGTAAGTATCGGTCTTTGTGCGAATGAAAATATGCGTACCAAAATCCTCTGCAAATTTCATTATGTGGTTAAAATCTTGTGATAAAATCTCTAGAAACCATTAAACCGAAAAAAACCAGGTTTAGTTTGAAGTATTTATAGTGATTTTGGTGTCAGAAAAAGAAACAGCATACCAGGGCCTCAGGTAATTTAACAGCTGGTCAAAGCACCTACGAGTATACAACCCGTTGAACACCTGCGTGGTGCTGGAAGCTTCCTGGGATTCCTTCAAAGGGGTTTTACCACGCAACACTTACCTTGTCGGACACTCGAAGTTTTATGAGACTTCATAAGAAAAAAAGTAGATAATAGAAAAAAAAGTATATGGTCAAATTATCAAGTGATTTTGACAATTACAAGAAGAGTTATGAGTAAAACTATTAAGTAATGTAAAGTCTGCGTCGATCGTTAAGGCGGGCATGAGCGTGGAGAAGGCCACAGACCCATTCGACATCCCACGCTGGGCGCGACCATGAAGCATCCCGCCCGTTGCCAGGGGGATCTTGCCCGCAGAAATGCGAAAACAGATTCTGGAGTAGTTTCCTGGGTAGTGCTTCTGAATCGAAGGTCATTTTTATTTACGGGTATAGTGTACACATCATTGTAAAATATACCGGGTGTCCCACCAACTGTGGGCCACGCTGTCTTCTAAACGGTTCACGAAATCAAAGCGCAGTTTTTGTTCAATAATGCGCAATCGTGGGGCAAGTAATACGCTTTAGAAATATTTTCTTGATATTTTTAGTTTTCGAGAAATTTAACATTTGTTTTTTTAATGGAACTACATTTTTGTCTCTGGCAATTGATCGATTGTAAACAGATAAATACAATGACGTATGATTTGTTAATGCGTTGGCAGTAGTTAGACTGTAAAATAATATTTTCTGACATATGATTTTAAATTAAACCGACGAAATTTCCCTTAGTAGCCCGTGCAACTGTTACGTTTGGGAAGGTGGCCTTTTTACTTACGATAAATACGCTGAAAACATACATAGTATCAATCTCGTTTGTAATTCATATATTTCTGGTTTCCTATATTATTCATATAATTAAGCTTAATCGAAACAGCATAGAATAAAATTTGATTTGCTTTTGACTTACAAAAGAACTCGCCTGTTTCTTTGCGGGCCTTTTCACTCTGAGTGGTTTGGAAATCACCACAAATAATGAATGCCTACCCAAAAGAAGTTGGAAGCATGTTTTCGAGGATTAGGATCGACAATATCGACACAAGAGGTCTCTGGAATGACATTAAAAACCTCCTAAACATTTAACGTATAAATCGCAATTTGAAAGCAAATTATATTTCAAAATTTCCTGTTATGAAATTGTTTTTATAGGATGAAAATACGAGGGGAGTAAAATTCGCTCTGAGATGGGAAAGATGCGGAAATGCAGGATACCCAAATACAAAGTTCGAACAGGTTCCTCACTAATTAATCTGTCAGCTGACTTGAGCTAGTCAGGTACTGCCCCTTTGCCTCCGAAGGCTGCACGCGTCCACGGCCTCCATCTCCGGATTGTGCCCGCCTATCCACCGAAACTTAATATTTTTCTTCGCCACTCGTTTTCTGAGAGACCAAAGCGCTTAACAACTTGACCGTTTGCACGGGAGAGGTGGCTCAGGGCATAGGCTGATGTTACTGCAGTGCCACTGAGCGGGAGGTCCTAGGTTTCCACTCCCGGCGGTGGCAGGAGTTTCGAAACTCTGGTCAGCTACGTCGAATTGAGCGCTGTGTGGAAGAGAATCCCAGCAGCCAACTGCTCCGATCAGTTTTCCGCGGTTTCTTCGATCAAAACCAAGTGAATGCCGGAGCAGTACCCTAACAAACGGGCCACGGGCCGCGCGAGATCTATCCTACCTCTTCCTTGTCCTCTCCCCTTACACAGAGTTAACCCGGCGCCAGATCTTGCCATCCAGCGGGAGAAGATCACCGCCACCTCTGGAAGACAACATACTCTACACTTAAGGGACTAATACTCTCTGTAGTTGACGCGGCCGGAATCACTAACAACCAACCTTCCTTGACAGTTTGCGTTTTCGATTATCCATTATCAGCTGATGAAGTCTCATAAAATTCCGAGTCCGACATTTTGAAAGTTGGTGTAAGTTTTCCCAGATTGAATAATGAACGCGATGAGAAATGCGTCTTTGGTATCTTTGAAGTGATCGTGAAACATCAAAATGATGTTATTGCTAAGAGAAATAAAGGTTAAGACTGCATTTTTGGTCGAAGATTTAAATTTGAATGTTATCAACTGAGGAAACTAATGCGATCTGCCTTGCTAGAATCGTGATTCTCCTGAATGAAATAAATTAAATAATGCAATTTCAATGGAAGTGAAAGATCTAATTTTCAAAATGTGTTTTATTCTAATTTTATTGATTTTGTTTTATGCACTGTTTGTTTTCAGATTCATTATTCTTTACAAGAATTTTCAAAATGGCTAGAAGATTTTATTCATTCATTCGTTGGAAATAATTCTCAATACTTTTAAGAAAAGGAAATACAGTTGAAAACTACCAGCCAAAATAATGTACAATAGAAAAATATTTTTCGGTGCTTAGAACCTTTAACAATAAGCATTAACTTGCAATAAGCATTACTTGTTTGTTAATTATAAGTTGCTAATATTCTGTTATTTATTTACTTACTGTAAACTATTTCTTAATTAACGATTTCAGTACGATACTGATCTTACATTTTATCTAATGAATTATTCAAAAACGTTTGTTATGTGAAATGCAGTTAAATTTGTCTCTAAAATGAATGACATTTAAAATAAAACCTAAAACCAACTCCACGACCTCTTTTCCACGTCAACAGCTGCTCTGTTTGTATATACGGCCAGCGAGTGTTTTAAACACAGGTAAGGCATGCAGTGTTTCACTGCGCAAGTAAACAATATTTTATAATACTCTAATTTTTCGTAATCATTCATCCTCACCTATAAATACAAATTCTACGAATCATAGGTATCGCCTTGTATTTACCAGAGCTATGAAGAAGATTTATAAAGGAAAATACTATGACGTTTCGAATGAAAAGATATGCTACAATAGCTTGCGAGACAATTCAAATAATGGCTGTGCTTTTCAAATAATGTCTCTGCTCTTTGTGAATATTATGAAGTAATTACATTGCCAATTCAACAGATACCTTCAAAATAGATCTGCTGAATAGAAAATATATTTTGTTGATACGTGGAGGTTGCACACATGTACTCTACATTTATTATTTCGAGAGTTGAATAGACAAGAATAATCCTCATTATCTCGCCACAATTGCAGCTAGTGCTACCTGATGCCGATGTGTTTTCCAACATTCTTATCCGGTTGTGTGATATATTCTTAAAATAAGACTATTCAAACATACTATCTCTTTACGTAACCCTTAACTTATACACGACCCTCGCAATTGTTTTCTTTCGCAGCGCTCGCGTTATCATTGAAATGGAGATGAACCGATTCGCCTAAATTTAAGTTGAGCGGCTGTCAGAGTTTACAGGAAGTTACATCTTCTCCGAATGACAGACTCGAATTTTCGGAGGAATCTCACAGACGGATCGTGCCAGTTGCGTTCGTGTTCTTGCTATCTGTGATTGGTGAACTTGTTTCTCTGATTATTTGATGCCAATTTTGTTTTCTTCAGAGTATATGAATTCGAGGTGTGACGTGAAATACAATTAAACAGAATTTGATGACTGAGAAGAGGTCGTTTCATGATGAAGCTGGTTCGACAAAATCGGTTAGTGGAAATAATAATATTTTCGAAAAGTTGAATGATCCCGTGAGAGTCGTATTACCTGGTAGACACAGTCGTATAATTTTAACGTGGCCGCCAAAGGTGGAGGGCTCAGAGCTGCCAGAAGACTCCATTCCTTATGGGAGGCGTATCGCTTTCAGCTCATGTTGACAACACTACTCCACTTGTGTAAACATTGACCCTGCCTTTTCGAATCGGCGTGGTGCAAGCTTGCCGTTGCGATTCCTACTATTAATATAGTGAATCATTTGTATGTGATTCATAAAGTTCTGTTTAAGTGATCATTGTTCTGTTTGTGATTATTGCAATGCGTCCGGATCAGAGCAAGTTGCATAAGGAAGTCCGTCACAGTCAGACGTGTGAAGTCGTTGCAAAAGTATCAATTTATGACGAGAAAAGCAAAAGAAAGTGTTAGAAATGTCAAAGCTGCTGATACGGGGGTTTCAAAAATATCTATTTGCAGAAGTAATAAGGTAACGAGTTCCATTGAATCAGGAGAATCGTGTTCATTTTCTACTCCGAATAAAGAGAGGAAGAGGAAAAACGGGAATCTGATCTCTACAGTTTCAATGAGTGATTCTCCGCTCAATGAAACTTTTGAAATTTTCGAAAAATTAGGGTTTTTATTGAACATGAGACCTGCACCATTCTCTTAAACGTTCTTCACACTATCCAACGGAAAAAAAGACAAAGCCATCTTTTTGAAAACGTCCCAGGAGCTTCACGGAAAGTATCCCCCTAAATTATAATATCGGTTTGAAATTCACGGGGCTGCGACAACCGCCAAATCAATTGGGGAATATCAATTTTGGAGCTGCTAGCGTTATTTACTGACAGACGTTTTCCCGTCATTCGATTTTTCGGTATCAAGGACCCACAAAACATGGATTCTGGCTATGGGTAGAGGATTGCTTTTCTAGATTTAGCAACTGGATTTATCCATTTTTTCTTTAGCATGACCGTGCAATATGAGTTATTCTGCCGAAAATTAGCCATTTTTACGCGCAGCATTCCATAACTTTCTCTCTACTCCGTTGCGAGAAAGTAAAATGTAAGAGGTGGTTTAATATTGGCATTATTTTGACAAGCGCGATTCGCGACATACGGGTTACTAGTTACTTCTAGTTCTTTCTAGTTACTTTTCAACAAAAATGATTAATTCAAAGCTCGAAAAACATTGAGAGCAGACTATTTCCCGCAATTTTGCACCCTTCAATGGGATATAGAATAAATTGGGAATAAAATAAAATACTTGACCGCCCCATTTTAAAGATACCTACGAATAGTTTACACACAATGAAATTCAGTGTGTTGTATCTTTATCGAAAAATAATATCAGATTTGTAGCAATCCTATCCTCTGAGTTGAAGTACCGTAGTAAACATGTTTACCATAATTCGTGTGGTACCGAAACCACGTAATACAATTTGGGGTTTGGATATTTTGTTCATGAGAATCTACGCTCGAAGACTATTAGTACTTTAATAAAAAGTGAAGTTAAATTCTCTATACGGTATAAAAATCTTAACACAACGACTACTTGATAATTTGAGACAGGCGTCGTAGCACTTGTAAGAATAATAATACATTCACTCGGCATATAATTTCTAAAGTTATATTAGACCCCCAGAAATTCATGCACTAAAAAATGTAAAAAATATACATGTCACTATGCCCTTAAAATTGACAGTACATGCAATTAAAATAGCTATGCGCTTATAACTAAGAATATGCGTTAAACAAAAATATAGTTAGCTACAGTTAACATTTATTTCAATGTAATTGTCTTCTTATACTATAGTACAGAACGCGTGTAATAAAAATATGTATTATCAAACATTATATTAAACAGAATTATTATGCGAGAAAACCTAGAGCATTGTTACAAGATACCGAAACATTTAGCACAGTCCACTAAGTTATGTGCACAAATAAAGTTATGACAAAGGCTTTATCTTCTGTAATTGCAGGTTCTGTATTCCTCTTGTATAATGAATTTAATACTTTTAAAATAAGTTAAAATAAAACAGCAGTTGTTTCGCAATGCCATTCTGTCGGCTTTTCTCGCGAATGTTTTACAATTTCAGACGTTGACGGTGATGGAAATGACTGTCACGGCACTTTAATGAAAAATGCACTCCACAGAATACATTCAATTGCCAGGTCACGTACAGAATCACTTACTCACAATTTAAAACAACTCATCTTAACGCTGTAATGCGAGTTTTTTTTACGCTTATTCATTTTGCACAACTCGAATCGATTCCCTATGCTACAAGCACACGTGTTACGCGGTCCGCCATTTCATCCAAACTACTTCGACTACTTCTTCGCTTGATATGTGTCATCGTTTACCCCTTTCATTTAAAGTAACGCGTATCATACATATGACACAAATCATATAAAGTAAATTTATACTTATTTGGGACGCTTACATCTGCTTTTTTACTGTATTTAACAATCATTTACTTGAATAGTACGGTACTATTTTATTACGCGTGTATTTAAGGGAGGAAGAATATTATCGCCAACTACCTATAACTAATACCCACGTGGCAATGTTTATTAAAATAAATAATAATAATAAAAATAATAATAATAAAATAATAAAATAATAAATAATAAATAATAATAATAAAATTTATTATTATTATTCTACGCGCAAGTTTTCTTGATATACGAGCTCCCTAGTCCTTATCCAGCGCTGAATAGCACGGCACGGTGAGATACTTAGGTTTGACTCGGAACGGCACGTACAAATTTACAATGCTGACAACAACCACCTCGTATTTTGAAAACAATCGTAGCATTTCTTGTGGCATGCTTTGGCGAATTAAGTTCATGCCCACAGTTGGTACGCCCTTTTCGGCCGTGACGTAGCCAAATCCCTCCTCTCCCCGCACCCCCCGCTGTGGAATATCAAGAAAACTTGCGCGTATAGTACATCCACTTCGTTCTTTTGTTGGACAAATACTTCATATGGTAGTACCACGTAGTACTTAAAATCAAACACGTGAAAACGGGATAAAATACTAAATACAGTTCCATAGACAAGACAAAAACAAATTCAAATATGTGAAATCTACCTAGGGACCATCCATAAATTACGGAACGCAAATTTGGAGTATTTCAATACCCCTCCCCCCGTAACGCAACCGTAACGCGCGTTTGGACCCCTTTAAATAATTATGTAACGCTTGCGACAACACCCTCCCGCCTTAATAATAATAAAATTTATTGAGTCACATATTCAATTACAATCGTGTATGACGAGTCAATATGATGCCTTGGGTGGAGAGA